CCTTGTGGCCTATAAAGAGCGGAGCGTCCGCCATTTTGTTCAGTCTTTGCGACCGCTGTTCACTGTGCCTCGTGCCGCTTTCGACTTTCGCTTTGGCTATTCTTGGTTCTCTTATATATTGCCCTTATACTACTTTCCCCTTTCTTCGTTCCCGCTTCTGTGTAGTTTTTCTCTTGTTATTTCTTTCTTCGATCTATCCAAAAAAAAACCCCCAAAAATGTATACTTGCCTTCTGCACTATCTCTCTTCTTCTTCTTCTTTTCTTCTGCGATGGCGCAGCGAGCGGCTTTCTGCAAATGTGCGGACTGCGGGTCAAAAATGGCACCTACTGACCCGCACGCCCTATGCCTCCTCTGCCTTGGAGAGGGGCATAGGATGGATAAGTGCGTTCATTGCCTAGCCTTCTCAAAGCAGGCTAGGAAGAACCGCGAGAACCGGCTTCGGAGGCTCCTTTGGGATAGGGCTCTGATGCAATCAGACCCGCTTGTCTCCATCCCAAAACCTGGCTCCGCTTCTGTGGCTCCACCCTCACGCCCTTCGGATGAAGGTGTGTCTGCTTCGGTGGCCCCCTCTGCTTCACCAAAAAAGAGGCATGAGAAGCGGAAGCATGCCGAAGAGAAGCCGGCGGGCCATAAGAAGGCCAGAAAGGAGAAGGCCTCTAAGCCTCCAAAGAAGGCGAAGTCCACGGACCGTCCCCGACATCGGGACTCGGAGCCAACGGGACCCTTGGTACCGGTGGCGGTTATGATACCGACCCCGCCCAAACCGATCCTTCAGGAGGCCATGCGGGTTACCCCTCAAGGGTCTCCCCGACGTGCGGTCGACCTCCCGCCTGCACCCCTTCCAACTCTATGGGGGTCTATTTCGGATGGGGAAATCCAGGACTCCCCTCCTAGGGCGAGGTCACCGACACCGATGCCCGCAGTGACATTGGAGACAGAAGCTGGCCTGACCCCACCAGGGAATCGGAGGAGCTGCTCGGTAGAGCAACGCCCGGAGAGTTGGCGTCGTCCCTACTACCAACCTTGGGGAGACTCGCTCTCTGTGAGGTACTACCCTGCTCCCAGGGCACGATCCTCACCTCCGCCCCACAACCAACTGCGGTCAGTGGATTCGAGGAGGGTGCCACCTCGATCCCCGCAAAGCGGAAGCAACCGCTCCTTCTCACTGGCGGAGTCATCATCTTCTGCCCCACCATACTACGGTGCTGATTTGGATGACTCTGAAGTAGACTCAACCTCCCTGGACGTCGTGGTGACATCCCAGGATCTTGCGTCACCCGATGAGTCCCACATCTCCTTTGCGGAGCTGATGTCGAGGCTTGTCCAGTCCCTGGACATCAACACTGCCCAGTGCCCGGGACCGTTGACGGACAAGTTTTACAACGTCGTCCGCGGGGAGCAATCGACCTCCATCGTTCTGCTGCTTATAACCACCCTGTGGCAGGTGATGACGCAGCCCTGGGACCTACCTTCATATCCTCAGCTGACGTCCAGGAGGTATGAGTCTATGTACAGGGTCCGGGAAGAAGTCATCCCCTTCCTGTTAAAGCACCCAAAACCAAACTCGGCGGTCGTTGAATCCTCGCAAGGCAGAGAAGCGAGAGGACATACAGCGCTGAGGGATAAGGAGGGCCAGAAAATAGATTCCCTGGCCAGGCGAGTCTATGCTGCCTCGGGCTTAGGACTTCGCATATCCAACTACGAGGCGACGTTGGCGCGATATTATTGATATCAATATTTTATTATGCAGCGCCTCCACAACATCGCCTCCACCCTCCCAGACCACCAGGGTGACCTTGCGAAGGTCCTAATCAAAGAGGCCATGCAGGTCGCGGTGCAGCAGTTGTCCACGGCACTTCACCACGTGGACACTGACTCCCGGGCCTTGGTCGGTGCTGTTTCCCTCCAGAGACCCGCATGGCTCCGGAATTGTAATTTCCCGGAGGAAACCAAGCAGCGAATAGAAGAGATGCCTTTTGATGGTTCTGGGCTCTTCCATTCACATACCGTCCACAAACTCAAGAAACTACACGATGGCGCGCAGGATGGAGATCCAGTCACACAACAGACGTAAGTGGTCCTGGAATCGGCCATCCTATAGGCAGTCATACCAGCAGAGACAGCTGCCGCAACACCGCCAGCAACAACAGCATCAACAGTGCCACCGCCCTCAGCCCCAACAGCGCTTCCAACAGGGCCGCCGTCATTTCGACGATCGGAGGCAGCACTGACGGGACTGGCGAACCACTCCTCATGCTCCTCTAATACCCACCCCCCTCTCATCTGGGGATCGGCTCCGAAGCCAACTCTCCATTTGGGAGTCTATTACATCTGACATGTGGGTATCATCCATCGTTCAACAAGGCTATCGAATAGAATTTGACATCGTTCCTCCATCAAGTCCGATCCAGTCTACTTCATGTTCAGGGCGACCCAGTCACTCCACAAAGGCTTCCTAAATGGAGAGTCCACACTATTGTCTTGTGTTATCAGTTAGCTAAGCTCGAATTGCCCTCAGTTCCTCGAGGCCATTCTACTAGAGCTGTCGCTACATCTTCTGCATTCGCATCCGGGGTTCCGATTGATGATGTTTGCAGAGCCGCTACTTGGGCGAATCCCTGCACTTTCGCCAAGCATTACCATCTCGATGTTCAGGCTCGATGGGACTGCTCCTTCAGTAGAGCTGTTCTCTCCTCCATCCTTCGACGAGGACACCTTTCCTCCTCCTTTGATGGTAAGCTTGTTAATCTACCCATATGTGTGATGCACAGAGGCCACGACGAAGAAAAGCAGGTTGCTTACCTGTAACTGATGTTCTTCGAGTGGCCATGTGTGCAGTCACACAACCCGCCCGCCGGCCCCGCTCGGTGTTGGTGAGTCGATGCATCGACAGCTCAATGTCGATGAGAGAGGGTGTCTTCGGTACCGACCATCTCCTTTACGGTACCGACAAAAAAAAATTCTATTAAGATACCGTACGTTCAGTCGCAAAGACTGAACAAAATGGCGGACGCTCCGCTCTTTATAGGCCACAAGGAGGCGGGGGAGCAGAGCTTCCCGCCAAAAACCATTAGCTGTCAATGTTCTGGCCAAAGGCACTGCGCAGGCGCAGTACCCCATATGTGTGACTGCACAGATGGCCACTCAAAGAACATCAGTTACAGGTAAGCAACCTTCTTTTATCAAGCCCTCTAAGGATACCAGCAGGAGTACCAAAGTTGAAGGACCACGGGGCAGGTGAAGAGGAACATGCTCCCCCAAGAGGTACACCTGGTGCCATCCTTGCTTTCCTTTTGGTGCCAGGTGAAAACCTTTTTATCTTCCTGTTATACTTTCTTGAATTTCACCACAAACTGTCAAGGCTTTAAAAAATGTCCTCATGATGAGTATTCCAACAGTATAATTGCCTCCCTTGTTTCCCTTGTAGAGCCAAAGACTTATTCCCTAAGACTCACTGGGGAATGGAAACTGAATTACTGTCACCCAGATGACTTATACTAAGGACTTTGTCTCTCAGCATAGTATCATTTGAAAGAATGTGTTTCTACTCAAGTGGGTTTTCAAAATAAGGCAAATGCAGCTTTAGAATATTGACCTGATCAAAAATAGAGTGAGAGTTTGAGTTATCAACATTCAAAAGTTACTTAGTTTCTATCAGAAAGTGGAAGGTGGTTAGCTTTTCCCTTTTATCCTTTTACTTTCCGAATGAAGTCATACCATGCTAATCCATATCCTTTAGATTTTAGAGCTTGGAACTGGAACAAAGAAGAATTCCAGCATGCCATGAGTGCCAGCTTCAATTTTTTTCAGCAGGCATTTGAAGGGCATCTCTGTTACATATCAAGTACAACTGTTGACAAATTTAGCTTTCTTTTGATTGTGCTTGCTTGTGTCGCATTGGGCTTGTATCTTTCCAAATGTTTCTCTAGCAGGTTGTAGGAAGAGTATGGCAGAGTTAACACCTTAGATGCTAGCAATAAAGAGATCTTAGCAATAAAGTGTGCTTGCTTTAAAATTAAGGTCTATACCAGGCATCCAATCTCATACATTTTAGCTGAGCTGGTGGGGAAATAGCATGGTAAAAAGGAGTTATGTGCTGTGCCATACATGCTGCAAGGCTTCCTGAGCCAGGTCTCTGAAGGATGAGGTACTTGTATGGAAGACCTGGTTCACGGTGGAGCTTATCTGTATGGTGAAGGGCAGTGGAATTCATGCCATTCCACCATGCTCTTTTAGAACCCTGTTCCCCTATAAACAAAGGCAAAACCTTCTTTAACCAGTTTTGGGCAGTTTTGGGCCCTTGTGAGTAAGCAGTAGGAATTAGCTTTTTCTGAAGGCAGATAGCTTTCTCCAGTTCATATATTTATTTGCATGATACTCAAATTGTTTAGCTTTTCATCTATATAGATAGAACATAATCTGGAATACTGAGCTGCTGAGTTGAGTGAAAAACCCCCCAGCATCCTGACCTTAATGTAGATCACTATGTTGCACTCAAATTTTAGTCTCCATAAATCTTCTATTGCAATTTGAGTGTCTAGTATGCCCTTGCCATGTTGAATTGTGTATGGGCACTTAGCCCTGTTCTGGCCCTTGCCTCAGTTAAGCAGATTTGGACAAATCACCATGAAAATTGGTGGAAATTGAGTACAGGGAAGGAAAATATATGGCAAATTCTGTCCTGTTAAAAGACAAGGGGTAGGATTCATATTTATGTTGGATCAAGTGTGCTGGCAGAAGTGACCTTCTGCACTTTCTGCTTCCCACAGCAGCCCCTTGAAAATACTGCACAGAGAGGAGACCTTGCTGAATGGGGTGAGCTGGGGTGGAGATGGGTGGGCAAAAGGATGTTCTGCAAGTAGGGGCCTTCCATCCCAAATGATGCAGTTACTAATATAATATATTACTTTTTGTTAATTGATTCACGTTTTATTTCATTAGAATCACTGTATTCTGGAATCATGTTAAGCTGCCCCTCTTTTGCCATATTCTTCTTAGGAGAAATCAAGATTGCTAAAAAACACTTTGTAGAAGCTTTCAAGAAAGTAAAATCTTCTGTATCAAGAAAGGTAAGAAATGCTGTAAGTTTTTGATTGGAGATTTATGTTGACAGTGATATAGAATATTAATGTAACCAGAGACAGCAACCAGAGACAGCAAAAGGTAAAAGTAGTTTTTAAACTACTTAGTTTGGCTGAGAACTCAAATGTTCGCTAAAAGACCAATTTCTGTATGCTCAGTCAGCTTAGGTACTTATTACTGTGAAGGAGAAGGCATCCATTAAACCAAAAATTAATGCTTAAAGCATGACAGCTCTCTTCAATCCAGCCTCCCACCCAAGGCTTCTGGTAAGTGCAGAATCAAAGCTTTCCTGCCTTGTTCCTTCCACGTGCTCTGCTGATTAAATGTGAGTTCAGTGTGGATCTTTTGGGAGAGAAGAGCTGTGTTTAGAAGAGAATATTTCTACACACAGAAAAGATCAGTAACGCTAAACAATCGATCTTTCTCTGGGAATCTCATTTTCTATAAATAGAAAATGAAGTTCCCTGGAACGATTTAGAAACCACAGGCTTAGATTAGTGTATTTTGCTGGGGAATTGGACAGAACAATTGTTTATGTTCTTTGACTATATTCTATCATTTTGGATCTATTTATATCCAGAAGCTTTTACAGTCCTTTAAGTGTTTCAAAGCAGTTCTCTCCAAAAAGCAGTTCAATTACCTTTTGTCAATAACTGTCACATACCTTAGCGAAGTTAAAGTTTAGCTCACACCTGTCCTTTTTCATCAATCTTCTGTCTTGAATTATCTTCATACTATCATTATTTTATGTTAAAAATTACTCTAAGCTTTTTATCTGAGCTTTTCTCCAGGATAAGGAATACAATGGATAAAAGGAGGCTTTAATTAATGCCTGAGACTCCCTGGCATTTTTCTATTACATGCAGGAAGCTTTTAACGTAGGAAAGTATTTAGATAGGTGCATTCTGAAGTACTTTTATTAATGTTTTGTTAATGTTAATTGGCAATTTTATTCTGTAATGGCCGCCCAGAGAGCATGTTGCTATTCAATTTGCTTTAAACAAATTGAATAAATAATAGAAGGGCTGTACTTAATATTTCTGGATTTTAGCTTAAGCTGTCTTCTGCTACACAAGATAGTGTTCTTTTCTGGTTCAGACTGGAAATAGGGTTCACTTGAACCTAGAGAGAGGTGGAAGTATATGTGAATGGTTTTTTCCCCCTTGATTTGCCACTAGCTGGAACAGTGGCTAATTCCCAACAGACCCTTGATCCAGTCACTTGGAAATTAGATGGGACCATGCTTTCTGTCACATCATTTAGTTGCTCTAAATTCTCAGGCTGGTACCTTAATGCTTTTGGGTTCTGTGCTGGACTTTAAAGCCCATTTAAGTTTGCTTATTTCCCAGAGCTTCATTTGTTGACATTCAGCTAGGCAAAACACATAGAAGACAGTCATAGCTGGAAAAGAAACTGGCAACATGACTTTATCTGTGGCCTGGCATAATATATACTTTAGAAAGAATTTTGTTCCAAGTAATCATTTCCAACAAGCATAATTACAGCTGGAATCTAACTCAACATTAATTAAAGCTATTGGGAGCCTTTTCTCTGTTTAATCTGGAAAATTGTTGCTGAAATTCTAGTGAGGTTTTAAGAAAAATCTCTCAGAAAACACAACTGAGTTAACATGTACGATATCTTTCTGATAAGCATGGTTGCATTGGCATAGTACAGGGAAAATTGTATTGATAGCTTTTCTTAAAAATTGCGACTCCAATCCAGCTAACATTAGTTGTGTCACAGTGACTAACCCTAATGCACTCTATCTGGAAGGAAGTTGCATTGAACTCTGTAGGGTTTATTTCTGAGTAGACATGTGCTGCCCATCTCGCTGAAACCTCTGAAACAAGTTGGGCACAAATAACCTGTATGTCATTGAGTTCAATGGGATATAATCATGAGTACCTTTAGCTAGACCGGGGTTGGCAACCTGCGGCTCTGGAGCCGCATGCGGCTCTTAAATCCCTCTGCTGCAGCTCCGTTGCTCAAAATACGCGCCGGCACAGCTGCCGATCTGGTCTGCCCAGGCCCCAGTTACAAAATACCAATAGGTGATGATGAGGCGTCCACTCAGGAATGCCACCCTAGCAGATTAAGTAAATTGTAACATTGCAAGGAAAGAGTGGAACAAGCTTCCTGCAGGCTCTCATGTTACTCAAACCCTGCTGAAAAGATTCTCTTTGTCCAAATGTAATCTCCATCTAAATATTAAAAGCTGCGCTTGGGACCTGTCACAATTCACAGCACTTGACTGTTTATCTGCTCATCAGTCACTAAACATACCTATATCTGCGACTTCCCCCGGTAGGCCAATCATGGATAAATTGAAGAAAAGTTTCTGAAGAAAACCAAACGTTTAATGATACGTGGGTAGATTCATTTGCTTTTACTGCTGATGAACTTACGGGGTTTGCTGTTTAATGCATGCAGCCCTTTAGCACTGACTTTGACTCTTCAGGAAGCTGTTCTCCTATTCAAAATATATGAAAGGAGTCCTACTAGTTTATAATGTAAGATTAAAAATAACAGTTTTTAGTGACTGAACAAGAGCTGCAGCTAAATCATAATGAAAATATACATAGCATTAAGGTAAAAAACGATATATGCAGTGTTATCTTCATTTTAGATGGCAAAAGGGTTTTGCAGCTCCCGGTGTTTTCTTTTGTGTGGGAAACGGGTCCAAATGGCTCTTTGAGTGTTAAAGGTTGCCGACCCCTGAGCTAGACGGACCTGTGACTAGATGTAGAGGCAGAACTCCATACAGACAGCCTGTAATAAATTTAGATTGTTACATCTTTATTTAGCTGCATTACACATGGAGCCACTTATTGAGTAGAGATTTTTAAAATATTGAGCCTTTTCAAGTCATCTTCTTTCACTTTTCTCTAGGCATCTGATCTGATAGTACATGTTACACCAGCAGCATGTCATCTGCCTTCCTATTTGGTTATAGTGGGTGGGAGTCTTGCTGCCAGTAGGGAATGCTTCTGCACAAGCTATGGTTTAATAAATTAAGACACCACTGAGGTCTTAGAGAAGCTTAGGAAACTAGCTGCTTTGCTTTTTCCTAGATTTCTTTTGTAAATAGTGGAGCCAGATCTTTGGCACTAGGCACAGGGAGCTGTTTCCTGCTAGCTTTCCTGCCAGCAAGTTGTCATGAAGCCTAGAAAATGTTGCAGTATTACTGAATACATTTGTTTTTGTCTCCCCTCCCTGTGCTGGATATCATTAGGACCAAATAATGTATGAAGAGCTGCGCCAGTCATTGAGCAGGTAACAGCTGGATGACCGTCTGAGATCAACATACTGCTTACCAAGAGTTCTGCTAGACCGTTTCCTAGAAGCCCTTTTGTGAAGCATAATTTTCCCTCCACTTTTGTTTAATCTCGGAATTGCTGGACTTTTTCTAAAAGGAGCTCTGTGTTGCAATCATTTGACATATGGTCCCTGCTTGCTGTGTTAGAAATGGGCACCTTGTCCTTCACATTTTGAATGTTAAAAAACCTTCCATCTTGATGCATTGATTTGATTCTCTCAGTATCCCACTTATAAACAGTCTTTTAGCTAGAAGCAGTAAAGGGGAAAGTACCTTATTTTCCCTGTAAATAAGCATTACATCATTTGGAAAAGCCTGCCAGCTTTCTTTAAAAATGCAATGTTTCTCACCTTACAAATTCACAGAATAAAGTTGTTCAGGAGTATGTTTTGTTTTTATTGAGCAGTGTCCTTTGACACTGCCTGACATTCTGTAGTGTAGCTTTCAAGTATCCTGAAAACATGAGGTAATAGGAAAAAGCAGGGGTGGGAAGTGAGATTGCTTCTATAAATGAAAAGGTAGTTAAGAGTGGCTAAAGAAGGACCCTAGCCCAAGTCTACAGGGTCTGTGCTTGTGGCTAATGAGGCTGACAATGCAGGGAGTATCCTCAGGTTTGTGGGATCAGTTCTGCTGGATATTTTTCTTTTCTTTTACTAGAACCTTGAGATGTATCTGAGGTACTTAAGTAGTGTGTTTCATCTTCACATCTTTTTCCAGGTAAGAACATGATGAAATTCTTAGACGTAGCACACAGCTCCTTTATCATGGTTCATTTCCACAAAGCTTGCCTAACATTAGGAGGTAGAGCACTAGTAACGTGAATTTAGATCTTTATTTCCCCTATGATTAGTAGAATTTGCATCATTGGCACTCCAACCTATCAACAAAACCAAACCCAACATTCTTAAAGATATCCACTTCCCCACTGCAAAAAAGTGTAACCATTTTCTGGCTAAACTGGATGCTAGGTTTCAGTACAGTAAATACCTACTTAGCAAGTGTACAAAGTTTAGAATTCCCACATGTGATGTGATCCTATTTTCTTCAAACTGCTATTTGAATTAGGCTCTTGTGTTAAGCTGCCTTGGCACTTTATGTTGATATTACATTCCTGACATCAGGTTCCTAACCAGGCATTTCTCAAACAACTCTGTATGTAGTGGTTAGAACTGGACAGGCAAAAAATGCACACAATATAGGAAGCATGTGACAGAACTTAAAATTTATCGGTATATTCTCTCTATTGAAACAAATACAGAAGTTGGGGCAATGAGCAAGGTGCTCTTCAATGCTTTTATAACCTGGACCAGCCAACCTTTGTGTGAAGTGCTAAATGATTACAACAGTTTCCATCTGACTACTGTATACAATACTGTGGCAGAGAACTTCATGAGCTTAATATCTTAGTGAAACTTCTTGTGAAAAGTTGCTCACAATGCATCAAACGTGTGCTGCATGAACTGGAAATACTACTATACAGACTATAATACTTGCATATTATACCATGAGTTGCAAGGCAATAAAATGGAAAGTTATTCATTTAAATAGTGAACAGAAATGTGATACACACTAAGAAAATTATATTTTAACAGCTTGTTAGCAGGGTTGGGTCATCACACTCCACAAGTTATGAAGGAATATAATGTAGTTTGTGAAATTAAAAGCAAAGAGGTGGGCATGCTACAGGCAGTGCACTCCCCACTCATCCTGGATAGACCAGTCTTTATTTAACCCATGGATTGTCTTTACATGTGAACAAACCTATAAAGCCACAGAATGGACTCACGAACAGCTTGAGAAAGTTTACCCAATTAAGAAAGTTTCTAAACTTCAAGGCATTCCGCCTGTCTCAGATGACCCAACAGCATGAGCAACTTCCATTGTTCTTATGCATGCACACAAATACATAGAAAGAGAAGGAACACAGCCAATTTTAATTGTATTATGCCTAAGGAATGTACAGCTGGTATTTTATATCCAATTACTTGGCATGACTATTTTGGAGAAAAGAACACTAGCATGCACCAAAGGCTCTGGTACTTTTTATAACATTTGTAATATATACACCAACTGAGTTAGCACTTGGATTGGTGCAATTTAGGGGTGGTGCCACAAGGCATTTTGTTCATTTACTATATTACTATATTAGAACAATGTTGCAATTTAACTAGAACGTAATTTAAATTAAGCTTTGTTAACATTAAAAGCCAGTGGGGCATCAAGTATAATCACAAGTACTTGTGTTTGTTGAATATTGGTTTGTTCTTTAAATGTTTGGCGTTAACAAGCAAACAGCTATCAAAATACATTAGGTAACATTAAGACTAGCACTATGCACAGATTGTAGTAAACTATTATAGAAAATATTCAAAACCGGAATATTCTAGTTCTGGCAATATTTTAATTCCTCAAACATCTTATTCTAAAATATTCCAGCCTAATCAGGATACTGCTTGAATGCATCATGTACCAATAAGAATGAAGCGATGTCCTTGGAGGTCACAAAAGTAATTTTTTGGTTGATAATTTAGTCCTGTATCACTTCACCACGCAGGTGCCTTTTCACGCGTGAGTAGGGGCTGATAGTATCATCCATCACGAAATCATAGAGTACTTTTATCCAAGAGTTATATTGTGGCAGATGGTCATAGTATTCAGGGGCCATTTTCTTCAGCTATAATTATAAAACAAAATATTCATTCATTCATTTAGAAAATTTCTAGGCTGCCCCATTCGCCGAAGCCTTGGGGCGGCTTACAAATAAATAGATTAAAATACATAAATAGCAGTATAAAATACACATAACTGTATAAAATAAGTTGCCCTGGCCAAAAAACTTTAAAATAAAAATAACATTAACAATTAAAATGACGCTTGAATAAAAAGGTCTTCGCTTGGCGCCGAAAAACAATAACGACGGCGCCAGGCGGACCTCTCTGGGGAGCGCATTCCATAGATTGGGCACCACCACAGAGAAAGCCCTCCTCCGAGTATCTGTCCTCCTAATTTCCTTCACGGAAGGTTCCCGGAGAAGGGCCTCTCCCACTGATCTCAGGGGGCAGGCGGGCATATATGGACGTAAGCGCTCCTTCAGGTAACCAGGACCCAAGCCGTTTAGGGCTTTATAGGTCATCACCAACACCTTAAATTGGGCCCGGACTTCAATGGGAAGCTAGTGAAGCTGACGGAGGACTGGAGTCATGTGAACATAACACCCAGTCCCCGTCAGCAGCCTGGCAGCTCTATTTTGAACCAATTGAAGTATCCGGACCATCTTCAAGGGTAGCCCCACATAGAGCGCATTACAGAAGTCAAGTCGGGAAATCACCAACGTGTGTGTCACTGTCGCCAGGCAGTCGTACTCCAGGTAGGGGCGCAGCTGATGGATCAGCCGAAGCTGAAAGAAAGCACTCCTCACCACCGCTGTCACCTGAGCTTCCAGTGAAAGCTCTGGGTCAAGGAGCACTCCCAAGCTGCGGACCTTGTCCCTAAGAGGGAGTGCAACCCCATTCAGGACAAGGTCCAGGTCCCCTACCCCGAGGCCCGATCCGCCCACCAACAGGACCTCCGTCTTGTCTGGATTGAGCTTCAGTTTATTGGCCCTCATCCAGCCCATTACCTCGGCCAGGCACCGGTTCAACACAGCCACTGCCTCATCTGGATTGGTTGAAAACGAGAGGAAGAGCTGGGTATCATCAGCATACTGATGATTCCACAGCCCACACCTCCTGATGACCTCTCCCAGCGGTTTCATGTAGATGTTAAACAGCAAAGGGGACAAAATGGACCACTGCGGTACTCCATGGCATAGCTGCCATGGCGCAGAGCCATAGTCCCCCAGCACCACCTTCTGGAAACGGTCATTGAGATAAGAGCTTATCTGGTATTCTATCTTACATCAACTTAAGAACAAACAGTAAATTGTTTCATAGAGACAATATTCTTGAGCCCTTCTGAACAATGTAGGGTGCAGCATAACACTTCTGTGATTTTCCTTATTTTATGGTCAAAGCTGACCATCAACCGTGGTATCCTTCTGGGACAGCTGTCTTGAATTGGAAATAGGGGATATTGCATTCCAGTGATTCCTTCCATTTGGATAGTCAACTTCATAAGGTGGTAATTGGGGGATATTGCTGAAGCCCTTGGATTCTCCAGTGTGGAGGTTCCCAAGGGTTAGTCTTGTACCTCAAGCTATTTAATACCTACATGAAACAACTGAGTGGGGTTATCCAGACTTTTGAATGCCTGTCTTCAGTAGTGTAATAACGTAGACCTCTATTTCTCCGTTTCACCTTTAGCAAGGGAGGCTATGGATGTGCTAAACCAGTCCTTGGCTGCAACAATGGACTAAGTAAGAGTTAACAAACTGAAGCTTAACCCAGACAAGCCTGAGATGCTGTTAGTGGGTGATTCTTCTGAGTTGATGAAAGGTGTTCAACCTTTTCTGGAGCGGGGGTCACACTTGCCTTCAAGGAGAAGGGCCATAGCCTGGTGTTTCTGCTTGAGCCATCTTTGTCACTTGAGGGTCAGAGTGCCTTCTACACCTTCAGCTGGTAACCCAGCTATGCCCCCATCTGGGCCTGGTTTCCCTAATCTATACTCTGGTAATCTTTAAACTAGATTACTGCAACACATCCTTTATGGGGATGCCATTGAAGACTGTAGCCTATGCAAAATGCAGCAGTCAAGTTATTAACTGGGACTAGAAGGTTCAACTACATAACACCTATTCAAGATAATGGTTTAAATGTGAAAAGCCCTACATGGCTTGGAACACAATATTTCATAGAATGCCTCTCCCAGCCACAAAATACTTGGACACTACAATCAAGATCTGGGGCTTTCCTACTGCTACCTCCAAAAGAAGCTTGCTTAGTGGCAGTGAGGAGGGCCTTCTCAGTGGTGGTCCACCCAGTTATGGAACAAGTTCCCCAGTAAGATCTACCTGGCACCAACTCTATTATCTTCTGGCACCAAGTTAAGATTGTCCTCTATGATAAGGCATTTAATTGGCTCTAAATAGTAATAGGATGTTATGTCAGTGGTCTTATGTCTTATTTATATCCCACTTTTTTAAAAAAATGAACTCAAAGCTGCTCATATCATTCTCCCCCTGTTGCTCTCAATCTTACCCCACAAGAACAACCCTGTGAGAAAAGCTGGGTTGAGAGTCTGTGACTGGCCCAAAGTCACCCAGTTGGCTCCATGGCCAAGTGGGGACTAGAATCCAGATCGTCTGAGTCCCAGTCCCATGCTCTTAATCACTACATCTCTAATGTCTTAATTTGTGTTAGTTACTTAAATCTGGTTTTTCAGTTTTGTAAAATAAAAAATAGCTTCAGCCCTTGGCTGGTATAGAAATATAAATACATAAACAGGAAATATAAATAAACAAGCAGCAAGATTTGTGAACACTTCTGCTAGCCTTTTGAGAAGTGTGCCAGTGTGATATACTGCTCTTCTATGTAAATTATGAATTGCCTGATTTCTTAGCTAGCTACCATTTCAAGATCAGTTAATGTGAATTGGAAAATCCACAGCAAAGCATTATGTTTATTAGATCAACCAAAACATCCCAAAATAACAAGGAAACTTTCAAATTCTCCAGAATTGTTCCTCAGCCTAGATATTTATAAAGGTGGGATGGGGCAGAAGCTGGCCATCGCTTAAGCCATGGTTCCTGCACTGAGTCACAACAAAAACAATGTGGGAAAGGAGAAGATTAGGCTCTACCAGGTGCCCTGCACATTTCAGATTGCACCAAGGACTGATAAGATACTATTCAAGAGGATCCTAAACTTGGGCCACAAGGGAGGAGTGTCAGGCTCACTTGTGCTGGCACCCCATTTACTCCATGCTGTTCTGTTACCTTTCAGGGTTGTTTTTTCAAAAAAAGGAACAGAACTTTTTACTGGAAATATATACAAATTTCATGGGTGTGAAGTAAATGGAGGGGAAATATAGACAGATGTAATAGCTACAAAGTAAGTGGAGAAGAAACTTGCATCATATTTTCCTCCATTTACTTCCAAGCCATGAAGTCTGTATGATTCTCCCTACAATCTGCTTCTCAACTGTGAAATGTGTGTATCTATCCTAGCTAAAAAAGGATGCAGAAAATTCCCAGATTGTTTTTTAATGTATGATTGCCAGGACAGGATAAGGTTTTAGCACCAGTGGTCCCAATGTGGCCCCATGCAGCTGTTGCTTGGGGAACTTTTTCAGACCTATCAAGGACTTGCAGTAACCAATCCAATGAGTATTCCAAAAAGGGCCTACAAAAAGGATCAATTAACAGCTCCTTTTTCTGCAGTAGGTTGAGACCTGGGGCTTTATCAAAACTGTGGAGAGTACTCAGAACCCATCTTGTCTCCGCACTCAACTCTGATCATTACCCATTTTTATGCTTGGTAAAGTATGTGGAAATTGACATGGTGAGACTGCATATAGGTACAACTGGCAAGGTCAAATGAAAATCACCAGTAAATGTGCATGCAGGTCAGACTGTAGCTGCGCTTGCCAGAGTGGCAAACAAGATTTCCTGCTAAATGATATAATCCTTTAGCTCTCAAATGTTGAACTGATAGTTCTGTCATGAAAGACACTGGGATACCAGCTGGAGAACTGAGAGAACATCATTGTCAGGCACCCCCTGGGTTGTTCCAAACAACAATCCCACTGTGGCTCATTTGCATGTTGGGCAAGCCCACCCTGGATGTAGCACAGGTGTTATGCACATGAGCTACAAACCCCACTTCCAGTCTGAACCTTGCTATTCATTAATGTGCTTGGGCCAGCCTACTTCTGTTCATATACTGGCTGCCAAGCAATTCCGCTGATAAGAACTGCTTGATAGTGTCCACAATATGGAATATAAAAGGTCTGTCCTTGCCATGTGATTGTGTTGAAGACTTAACTTTAACCAGTGCAAGTATTCCAGGAACACCTCACTAACTGAATATACGCTATTGGTACTTCTCCAGTCCTTCACTTACTTGAGCATCCTAATGAAAGCGTGCTTAAGATCACATGGCACATCACTTTAATTTTGCAAACTTAAAATAGACCTGCCCACCTAGAGCTGCAAATCAGAGCACTGAATAGCAGCACTTAATCTAATCAGCTATATGCAAGTTTATGCATGTGAAATGAACAGTTTAAGTAGCTTGTTGCAAAAGCTAAGAAATATGCACTTATGTACTTACCAGTGGAAGGCTTTTTCCAGGAATATTAGGAAAGTCATGGTGCTCGTTATGATAACCAACATTGAATGTAAGCTTATTAAGTGGTCCATAATAAGAATATGTTTCATATCCCTTTAAAAACATGTAATGTTCAGCTATGAAATGTCCCGAAATAGGATGCAAACCCAATCCAAGAACTGCTCCTGCTATCAGGTAAAAGAGTGATTTTACTCCAAAGAAATAGTATACTGCAACATCAAAGAGAAACTGAATTGACAAGTTGATGATTTCAAGTCGAGAAATTGGTTTGGGGTTAATATAGAGAGGTCGAATGGCATAAAAAAGAGGCTGAAGAATAATCCATAACAGCTTTCGAAAACGGGTGCAGAAAAACCATCCTTCAAAGTCAGTTGGAATGTCCACATCAATTCCATCGCCACCAAGATAACGATGATGATCCATGTGGTATCTCTTGAAGGATACCGAGTAAGGAATGCCAAGTGCGAGATTGGCAAACATCCCAAACCATCGATTCCATGCAGCTTTAGAATGACCAAAGGCACTGTTGTGTGCAATCTCATGAATAGCCAGAGTCATGGAATGATCAAGACAACTGCCAAAAACATAGGCCCAAAATACAACCCATTTCCAGTTCAAATCTTTAACTAAATAAAGGGCAACTAGCTGTGCAACCACCATCAGTACAGTCAACCAGACCACACCATAGTCTGGTTTCATCAAGGCTTTTACTTCAGGATACTTTCCTGTAGAGGGGAAAAAAAGGCAGATAACATCAAAAAGTCCATAATCAACACAAGTACCTTGAAGTCCCTGCCAGAACCTTTTTTAACATTTGGATTTTGCTTTCAACAGAATTCCTTCCATATGCTAGAAGTTTGAATAAATAGTATATACCCCATTTGAGCCATAAACTAGTTGAAAAGCCACACTAACATGATACAGAAGCAACTGTTCTGTTTGAAATTTATACCACATTCAGCAATATCACAAGCACATCAGCCTACCAATCCCAATATAAAGTATTTTTCCTCAGACCAGTGGTGCACAACCTGCAGCTGTGCAAATAATGTTTGCTTCTAATTCATATCAGCCCCAGCCAACAGGAATAAGATGCATTTAGCTCAGGAGCCAGAAATGGGGTTTTTTGACATACAACTGGGAAGAACAATGGGAGATTTAAGCCAAAACATTTGGAAGGTCACAAATGGCCAACTTCTAATTTAGACCTCTGCTTTTGCCTTACTATCACTCAATTTAATTTCCAAAAGGTTGCTCTGATCACGAACATTCATTTCTGCATCAGCTAAGAACTGCAAGAACCCTGCAAGGCAGAAAACAGGACTTTTTTCATCTGCCAACCAATTTCTCCCTCCTCTGGTTGTTTTGCTGGACTGAGACCTTGCATCTCACCTGAGTTGTTGGTTTAGCCAACAAGGAAGCTGCCTTCAAAACTGATTGGAAACCTGAGCCAGATATGTTTTCCTTTGGCGACTTTTATCTGCAGGTCCAAATAAATGGTGGCAATGATCCTAAAGGAATTCACCCCTTGGGTGAAGGTGGACGCTCCTAACATATATGTTTTGGTATTTTTAATGTGCTCAGAGTTCTCTTGAACTCCTTAGGGCCTGGGAATGTGCCTTGCAGGGAAGACATGAAGCCAAGTATGGGGATGTGTGGAGGTGGGGCAATCAATGTGATGAAAGGTAGGAGGATACACAGTGCTTGGGAGGAGGACTACCCACGCTAGAGGAATACAACCCAGGTAATTAATGGCAGTGCCATCTTCCAGCCCTTCTTGCATCTACAGGTCTTGTGGTTGCTTAGTTGCTCCTGGATTTCCAGATGCTACTTTTAAATGTTAATTTAGTCCAAATCAAGGCCTCCCTCATCCATAATTTAATAGTGAATAATGTGGCTGATCTGACATGCATCACTAAGGTAGCATTACTGAGCCCTGAACAAGGAGGATTTTTCTCTCCCAGCTATGCCCACTGGGGTACTTGGTCCAACATCAGGGTAGACTCAAGAACCAGTGAATAGGGGTATATGGACCATGGTCCACATAATTTTATTTTTCTTCATGCTCCATGTCCATCTGACTACCAGTGTGGAGTGTTTGCATCTTGTGTTGGGCAAGCAGCGCCGATGAACATTTCTGTGGATGTGCCATGCACCCTGCTACTCAACAGACTCCCTGTCAGAGCTGACTTTAGTAGTCTTAGTTGCAGTGCTCTATTTGAAACAGCTCAGGATTTCATGGACTCTATGACAACCTGACAACCAGACAACCAAGGGACTGCCATGGACATACTAGATCTTTTTCAGCAGCGCATTAGAATATTGACTTGAGGGCAAAGACTTTGAATTAGCCCCTTTGTCATGGTCAGATCACACTGCCTGTTATGATTTAGACTAATGGCAACTTTTCCCTTCCATAAGGCTCTCGGAAACCTATTGAGATGGTCCACCCCTAGAAGTTAATGGAACCAGATGGTTTCCAGAAAGCCCTTGGGGGTTTTCCAGCTGATATGGCTGGAATTTCTATCAAATCCCTGGCTGATCTCTGGAATACAAAGATGATGCAGGTGATTACTCTTGAACATCCTCTCTGTAGTAGGACCCATAAAGCTCTGTGCTATATATAGGACCTGAGAATAAGGAAACGAATTAGGAAACAGCTTGAGTGCAAATGGAAGAAAACTGCTAAGGCAGACAACTGAATCTTGGTAAGTGCCTATAGCCAGGTATACTTAGAGGCAGTGAGGGCAACAAAGAAACAACATCTCACAGCTTCTATTCAGCCTCTCTCCTCTCTTCCATCCAGTGGAGCTTTTCAGGGTCATCCAGGGCCTATTAGGTGACCCGGAAGAGCTCTAAATAGCAATTGGGGGGGTACTGCCAGCTGTTTCAGGAGCCCAACCCATATGAACTTGTCTTAGCTGTTTAAAGCTGGTCTGGACATCTAGAATTTGTTTTGTTCCACAAAAGAACAGGGAAAAGACATACATCACAAAGTGCTATTTTTAACTACAAATATCTTGTCAAGCAAAGGGCACAGCTGATGATCCCATCTGAGGAAATCAGGACAATGAAAAAATGTTGCAGAAAGATAGTTTGCCTATCTTTGCTAGCCCATTATGCACAATTGCAAAACTTTTGGGATGTTCTAGGGCAGTCTTTTCCAACCTGATGCCTCCTGATTGTGCTAACTACAACTCCCAGCATCGTCCAGTCAGCAGATGGAGGCATGCTGAGAGATGCAGTCAAGAACATCTGGAGGGAACCCAGATATTCTAGAGCTCCACCTCAATTCGAGGCTTCGGCGAATGGGGCAGCATAAAAATGTTTTAATAAATAAATAAATTTACATATATGGTATCTAGATTAGTAAGCTGACAAGAGCAAGGTATGCAGTATCGGCCCATGATTACAGAGTGGTTTCTTTTCCACCTTTGTGCACATCTCATTTCATGTCATATGAACCCTGCCAAGGGGTGGCACAGTGGATTCACAGTGGACCTCACAAACCTTGTCTGAGAGTGTATCCTACAATGTACTCCAAATCCCACTGATCCATACACATGAAACAACATTCTGAAAGACAGGAAGTTTGAAAGCTGCCACCCAAGCACACTATTTTCTAGGGGAAGAGCATTTCAACTCTGGCCGCTGTGGCTAATTCCTAACCTGGTGCCTTCCAAAAGTTTTGGACTTCATCTCCCCTCATCCTCAGCCAGCATGCTGAATGGTGAGAAATCCTGGGAGTGCCTAGCCCAAAGCATCTGGAGGGCACGGGACTGGAGAAGGCTGAGCCCAGCCGTAGGCTCATCATCCAAAACCTCGGCTCCACTCCTAGCAGGAGGGAGTCATGAATAAGACGCTTCGAAACCAGCTATCCTCAACAGGATGGCGGAGCAGCGGAACTAAGACAGACGAAGCCGGCGGGCAGAGAGAGGACGAGCTCTTCGAGGGTGGCCTGATGCTTCAGCTCAGCCGCAGGGCCTCTATCCCGCCGCCACTTCAGTTATAAGTGGGCAGCGTCGGCGCCTCCGAGGAGAAAGCCCTCCTTAGAAAGCGCGAACAGAAGAGATGCCAAACCCCAGGCCACGGACGAGACGGGCGTCCCAGGCAGCCCTGCCCGGCTGCTTTCCGAGAAGGGGAAGAGCAGCGGGCTAGCTTCTTCTTCTTCGTCTCCAAAAAAGGCGTTGGGGGAAGGGATAGACAGTTAAGCGCGTGAGGGCGGCGGAAGACAAGCCCCAGGGCGGGCGGGCGCGCGGCACGAAGCGGCGAGAGCACGCGCGCACTCACGTAAGATCTCCTTGCGCCGGTCGGCGTGCGGCTGGTCCGTGTAGACCCATTCGAAATCCTCTCGCGCCACGGTGTTCCCCATCGCCGAGGACGGACTCGCAGCCGCCCAAGGTTCGGCCTGTTCCACGCGCCCCCCTGCCGGAGTCCGCCCGCCGCAGCTTGTACCAGGCTTGTGCCGCTACCTCAGAGGGCAAGCGCCTCTCATAAAGAGAGGAGGAGCCCCCGCCGTCGCCACGCCTCAGCGGCTCGGGCTCATTGGTTGCCGCGGGCGGCGACGTCATGGAAACCGACTGGCCCCCGCGCGCGGGAGGGGGCGAGATTTAACAGTCGCGATGGGCTCGTGCTAGTCGACGCTTATTCGTCGTGGTGTGTCCTAGTGTGGGAGTTAGCATTCGGGCATACTGATTTTGAGGAATAAAGTAGGGCTCAAGGACCGTGTGAAAGGCCAGAGGTGCCGCTATGTGAAGGTGGCGGAGCGGGAGCCGAAGGAGTCCTCCCCTCACTCCGTTTTTCCTCCTCCTCATTCTGTGCTGTGTCGAGAGACGTCGCCCGCTCACCAGAGCAGCAAGCCCGCTTCGTCTCCGCCGTAAGGCTCTTCCAGCTGCCTCAGCGCCCTTCGGAGCCGCTCCTTCACGGTCGCCTCAGTCCTCTCGCCTGCATATCGCCCCCACGGTTCCCGCGCCTGAGCTTCCCAACATGTTCTTTAAGGGACCGCTGCACTCCAGACAGACAGTTCTAGCCTCCGACAGCTGCAGTACGGCAAGGGCAGCCACGCCTTGGGAGACTCACGCTTTCCACGTACTTCTGCCGTTGTCTCAGTCGTAAACCCGACTGCAAGCGATGGGGCTTCCAAGTAAGCGTACACAGGACCGGAGCCTTAGGCGGTACGGAATGTCCAGCTTTGCGCTTTTAGTCAAAGAACGTTTTGAGGAGCTGCCCCAGCCTCCTATATCAAAGAAATGGAAGTCGGATAATAAATTGCCACTGCTATTATCCTGGATATGTAGGCGTTGCTGGGCTGGGTGTGAGGACAGCGAAACCTGATCCAGACCTAAACTAGGCAAATTAATACAGGCAGATTGCATGTTCGCATCTCTGGCGAGGTGAGGCTGGGATTACACAAGGCTTAGTTGGTGAATCTTGAATTGTTCTGGAGCTGGTTTTGACTGATTCAGCGTCTCGTATCAAGGATGAGAAAAGCTCTCCTCCTGATCTTTCTTCTACTCAGCTATTGCGCTCTTTTGCACCTGGTTATGTTAAGGAGGGACTGGCTCAAATTGATGTCCCAAGCAGCTCCATCACACAGTCTGAGAATTGCGCTCTAGCAATCTCCGTGGCCTTGCAACTGACCCTGGAAATCTACTTGGACAGTTTGCTTCTGTAGTACTCCTGAAATATTGCCATGGGAGCGTATTTTGATGGTATTATGACATAAATGAACATTCATTGTGATGTAATGTTCTAGAACACAATGCAAAAATGTTCCACAAGCAATGACACATGTATCTTCTCAGAAAGTCCCCACTTAAGGAAATAAAGAAGGTGGCAACTAGGGGAAGGGCCTTTTCAACTGCAGCACTGCACTTGTGGAATCAGCTTATCAAGGAGGTGTGCCTGTTGCCTACGCTCTAATCCTTTCAGGCAAAAACCTTTTTTATTTACCCAGAATTTTAATAGTTAAAAGATTTTAATTCCTTTAAAACCAATTTTAACTCTGCATTTATTTGTATTTATTGTTCTGCTGTACCTTTGCACTAACTTGAATGCAGTTGTTGTAGGCCTGCTGTTGTTTTTATCTTATGTATATTCAATTTTAATGTTACTGATTTAATGCCCACAGTTTCCCTTTCCCCCCCTCTGTAATAGTAAGTGAGCATTCCTTGCCTGTTGAGCATGCTCAATCAATACTTGGCTGCTTTGGAATTTTACCTACAGGTTTTTGTTTTGTTTTGGTAACTCTGGGAGGCGTAAGGGGGCACAGTTCTAGGATTTTGCCAGTCCTCCTGAATCTTGTGCATACTATCATTTTGACTATGAAGGATCCACATTTGGAAGAGTTTCCTATTATTTATTTATTTAAAACATTTATATGCTGTCCTTCATGTATAACATAGAACGGCTTACAACATTAAAATCAAAATTCAATACAACAATCAATACAGCAATACAATAACACAATATATAACCAATAAAAATAAATCAAAAGCGACTGTTAAATATTTAAATGCTGATTTTTAAAATAACACTTAAATAAAAAGATTACTAGGTGCCAAAATGAATATAGGCTCGGCGCCAGGTGAACCTCTCTGGGGAGCGCATTCCACAATCTGGGCACCACCACAGAGAAGACCCTTCTCTGAGTAGATGTTCTTTTTACCTTCTCCAGGGAGAGTTCCCAGAGCAGAGCCTTTCCCACAGATCTCTATTAGTACGTATTATACATATATATATAATATTATATATATATATTCATATATATATTCATATATTCATATATAGGATTCAGATTATGTGCTACAGTCTTCACCACTATGGTATTAACAATGAAACAAGTACTATGTAGCCTAGTAACAGAGTTCCTGACATCTTTGACTTAGCACTAAATGCTCATCTTGCCTCATTGGACCTGGGTTTAGCAAATACAATGACATGATTAGTGTTAATTCTGAATTTTCTGCACAAAGGCTTGGTGTCAGATGAAGTAGTGGTTTGGATAAGAAGGGCCTACAGGACTCATTCTAATACTTTGACCTGTTCCAGGCTAAAAAAAACAGTCTCGTTTATTTATTTCCTTATTCCATTTTTATAGCACCTCAGCCCTAAGCTCTTTGCCATGCAATCCTGTGTGCCCCTACTCAGAATTTGGACTTTCTCCTTCCCAGGTAATTGCGCTGGACTCCTTCCCAGGTAATCTCACTGGACTTACTCCTTCCCAGGTAATTGTGCTAAGAGCCCAAACAATTCAAGGTGTTGGTAATGACCTATAAAGCCCTAAACGGCTTGGGTCCTGGTTACCTGAAGGAGCGCTTACATCCATATTTGCCCAGTCGCCCCCTGAGATCAGCGGGAGAGGCCCTTCTCCGGGAGCCCTCCGTGAGAGAAATTAGGAGGGTGGCTACTCGGAGAAGGGCTTTCTCAGCGGTGGCGCCTAAGTTATGGAATGCGCTCCCCAGAGAGGTCTGCCTGGCGCCGTCGTTATTTGTTTTTCGGCGCCAGGCTAAGACCTTTTTATTTAAGCAACATTTTAAATGCTAAATATAATTGAATTTTATCTGGCCAGGGCGGCTTATTTTATAATGTGTGTTTTAATTAAGATTATTTTATATGGATATTTTAGCTTATTGTTTTATCTATGTTGTAAGCTGCCCCGAGGCTTCGGCGAATGGGGCGGCATAAAAATGTTTTAATAAATAAATAAATAAATAAAACATGTTTTAGAATTAAACTTATTTTTAAAGTTTAGTTTAATTTTGGCTCAAGTGCAACTTCACATTATGTTGCTCTGGTCCAGGCAAATAATAGGTCAGGAACTGGTTCAATCAGTGATGCTTCCTGGTTGCACCTTCCAGCCACCACCAGCATCTTCTCTTCTTTCCTATGATTGCCACTACTACTTGCTTCACAGGCAGAGAGGCCATAGGCAAGGAGGGAGAGCCATTTACTGTCCCTGCATCTCACTACCTGCTTGTCTGACTAGAACGAGAGGCAGGTTGACAACAAGTCCAAAACACTTTTGTTAGTGCACCTCTGCTTGGATATGAGACCAAACAGAAGCACCCTGGCAGATGCTAACCCCTGCCTACCCTTGATGCTGGCCCTGAAGTCTGCAAACATAACCAATGCATTCAATTCCAGTTACATCAGAATATTTAAATATAAGTACATTATTTACAATGTTTATTTGTACACTGGAGTGGAACAGGAGAATAAATCTGAACATGTTGCAACTATGCATCAGTAATGAGCACTATGAGGCAGGCAGAGCATGAAATTAAATCTTGGTACTTAAAAATAAATTCTTACAGATGCATTAATTGTGCACCCGCCATGTACAGACACTGTGTGAGGACTACACAAAGGAGAAGTTATTCAGCAGTACATAGTAGGTGCAAATCAATAGGTTTGTCAACTGTTTGGGAATTGCTCGTCATGGACCCAGGGGCTTGCACCTCAAATTTTAGCTGGCCTCCAGGTCTAGCAATGTACTAACATTCCCCCCTCCCAAACTTTTCTTAGGAGACAAAGATGGAGTTGGAGTGTTAACAGAGCATCCAACCGTCTGTGAAGGAGTTCAAACAGCAGCAGCCTGAGGAGAGGTCTGGAGGAAGAGAAGGAATGAGTGAGCAAGTCAGCAACTCATCAAAACTAATGCACAATGTCCAGTTGATCCTAAGTACTTCTGCTGTGATGCAAGTGCTGCCTGCCACAAGAAGCACTGAACTAGACATTAAACTAATATATATAGCATTTTGGTAATCCTGCGATGTCCAAAGAAGTGTGGAGAGATGACTTCATTGACATCAGTAAAGTTTCTCCCCTTTCTTAAGCTCCCATATGGGGGAGCATTTAGGGGCAAAATCAGCTGGGTGGAAGATACGACACCATTCCCCCATTTACACATGAGGTTTGCAATATAGATTGGGTATGTTTGCATGTATTAACAAAGGTGGGATCACCTAAATCCCTTTCATTTTACAGACTATCTAGTTCAGCACTTGACTCCTCTCAGCAAACAGTGCATGAGTCAGTAAAGGAGACTTTGGACAGAGTTCAATGATGCATCTCATAACTCAAACGAGCACTTTGTTTCTCCCTCTACCCTTCTATGCATAAGTACAGACATTTCAGTTTTACTGAATTATTTAACCCAAGACTATTGGTTTGTTGCTGCTTAGCCCACAAACAACAGATTAGTTCAGGTTTGCACATCATGCTGACATCCTCTGATAGCACCAATCAGAAGTTGTTTACGATTAATGGAAACAGCTTGCACAAGGCACGCTGTCCATTATTTGCTTCCGTTACATGTGAACAGACCCACTGGTTCCACCAGAATGAGAACAACTACACAAATCGGTTCTTGTCAAGGACTAAGAAGTTTTAGGCTGATCAGACTGGAGACCTGCTTCCTCTTTGTGACATATGTTTAAGTCAACATACAAGTTAAACACAGAA